ATGGAATTGAGACAATCAGCCTGTGGCGTTGACTGGGAGTTATGGAAGCCCAGATTTCCTTGATGCTGTCAGATCTTCTTTGTTGTTGCTCTGGTGCTCCTCATGTTCCTCTTGAGAAGATCCATAGATTCTTAATGGGGTTTAGGTCCGACCAGTTGGCTGGCCAGTCAGGCTGGGGCATCAAACCAGGTTCTGGTGCTTCTGGCAGCATGGGCAGGGACCAGGTCCTGCTGGAAGATGAACTCTGCATCTCCATACAGATCCTCAGCAGAAGGAATCATGAAGTCCTCTAAAACATTCTGGTAGACTGTTGCTGTGACCTTGGATTGAAGAAAGCAGAGTTTACCAACACCTGCACCGGACACTGCACCCAGATCATGACGGACTGTGGATATTTTATACTGGACCTCAACCAGTATGGGCTCTGTTCCTCACCCTTCTTCATCCAAACCCTTGGACCTTGATTTCTGAATGAAAGACACTTTACTTTCATCGGAAAAGAAGAACCCGACAGTTGTAGTTCATCTCCTGGATGAGTCTGAATGTGGTGGTTGTTGAAGCTGTGACTCCGCCTCATTCCACTCTTTCTGGATCTCTGACAGATTCTGGATCTCTGACAGATTCTGGATCTTCTCTGTTTGATGATCCACTTAAGCCCACGGTCATCTCTGTTGCTGGTGCATCTTCTCCTGCCACATGTTGTCCTTCCACTAGACTTTCCACTGATGTGCTTGGACACAGCGCTCTATGAACAGCCAGCCTCCTTAGCTATGAACTTTTGTGTCTTACCCATCCTATGGAGGGTCTCAATGATGGTCTTCTGGACAGATGTTCTGTCTGCAGTCTTCACCACATTGAACCAAACTGAATCAATGACACCTGGGGAAACCTGTGCAGGTGCTTTGAGTTTAGTAGATGATTAGTGTCACACTCAGTTTAAAACATTCATGTCCTGCAACATTTGGGCTGATGTCTCCACAGAATGTTTTTTTAAATCCTGTTTTCATGGGTTTCATGAGCTGGAAGCTCAAATTATGTAAAAATAAACAAATAAAGACTTGAAATAGTTTAAATTGTGGGCCCTGAATCTATCATTTATTAAAGATTACCTTTTTGAATGGAATTATGGAAGTTAAACAACTTTTCCATGATATTCTAATTTTTTGGAAAGGGTCTGTATATAATACATATCAGAGCTCTGCAACATCTGTTTTTTTTGTTTTGTTTGTTTGTTTGTTTGTTGTTTTTGGTGTGTTTTTTATTTTTAAGCCCGAAAGGTTTTGACCCTGCACCTCAAGCCTTACAGGAGCCCACTGAGGTACCTTCAGCTTCAGCTGGTTTATGTCTTACCTGGGTCTGTCACCATGGTAACTTGGGTTAAACACCTAACTGGTCCAGAGTTTCCAGATTAGAGATTAACACATGTCAACGTACCAATCAAGCCCTCAGAAGTAAAAACGAATACATAATTAAAACCTTGTCGTTTTGTAATAACTGATGCTCGTTTGTCTGGAAGTTACATCAAGAAGCATCTTTGTGAACAGACTCGTGTCCCCTCAGGTGGTTCAGATGTTCAGGAACCACGAAGGCTGCCGTGAACTGCAAACTTCAACAACCTTCTGCGAGGAGACCAAAACCTTCAAGCTGGACTGAAACCTGACAGGACTTGTCTTCTGGAGAAAGGCTTAATGGTCCAGCGAGACCAAGGTTGAGCTGTTCGTTCACATTATTAAATGTTTGGTTCAGTCTTTCAAACCTAAGTGCACGACTATCGAGTATGGTGGTGGTAGCATCATGCTGTGGTGCAAAGGACTGGGATGGAATAACAAAGATGGCTACTTTCACATTTTTCATCCTCCAGTCAGCAGCTGGACGGTGGAAACTTGGACACAAGTGGATCCAACAAGACAACGTTCTCAACATGAGAGCTGGTTTCTGATTGGATGCATCTGTCTGACAGGAAGCCTCTGGAGCCGCCTTCCCAAAGCCCCAACTGAAAATGAGTGCATTAAAAGTCAGAAAACCAGTTGAAGCAAACTCCACCATTTCTGCCAAGAACAAGAATGGTCCAACACCAGCACCTGAAACTTGTTGATGGACACAAAGAGCTGAGGCCCAGATGCAGCTTGCTAAGGGAACCCAGTTTAAGTAGGGACGTCTCTGAGCCTGCGTGGTTTGTCTGGGATGTGGGGTCTCACCATATGTAGATGATGTGACCTTGTCTGTTATTGTGCTGGTACTGATACAGGATGATGTAACTGTCTCCTCCGTAGAACTGACCGTAGAGCGCCACATCCACCAGAACCTTATCGGATCCTTCGATTCGCCAGATCTGCACACAGATAGACACCTGGCCGTTCAACCACCACAAACTGAATTCTCACGGGTTCTCTTCCTTTATTTTATTTATTTTCATTCAACCTTTATTTCTACAGGTTAGTCCCACTGAGCCTCGAGGACTCCTTTACAAGAGAGACCTGATTTAGACAGACAACATATAAAGTACAGACAACAATAAACAACAACAAAATGCACTTAAAATAAAAATAGTGTTATAAAAACAAATCAAGGTGCCATGTTGTTGAATATTTACACACTGAGCTGAATAATGTACAGTAAAGTTCTTATTCTAACTTGTGTTTCTGGAAGAACTACGTCGGACCAGAATCTGACAGCGGAAAGATAAACCAAGTCCAGTCCACATCAATGTGTCACCTGTTTCTTCCCATCCCCCCGGTCCACCATCCCGTACTGCGCTGCCATGGAGTCCGACTTGTGGAGCTTGGACACGTCAAACGGCACCTGTCCAGTTAGAGGAGACGGGGTTGGTTCTGTTTCAGGACTAGTTCGATCACATTCTGAACCCAGCAGCCCACCTTCTTGATCCTTGCCACCTTATTGGGGACATAAGCTGTTCCCAAGCCGGCCGTGTCCTCGGGGTTCTTCCAGTTTTTAAAGAACTGTTTGAAGAGCGGAGTCTCACCATGCTCAGGGAGGACCTGGACCTGAGGGACACCAGACTCTTACTGCAGGTAAACGTTTCACTGGTGTGGTGGAGTTGAAATAAACTGCAGGTGAAACTCTAAAGGCTCCGCCTCTTTCCTTTTCTTACCTTTGTGTACGGTGAGTAGTTCATCTGTTGGATGAACTTCTCTGCACTCTGAAGAACGGCACTACGCTCATCGTTGTTTGCATCTTTACCTGCGCGCGCGCACACACACACACACACACACCATGTTTATCACAATCAGCAGGACCCCAGACCCCAGAGGTCTGGCAGGACCCCAGGGGTCTGGCAGGACCCCAGGGGTCTGGCAGCCATCCTGAGTCACCTCAGGGACTCAGTCCGCTCCAGAGACCGGTGCTACAAAACCGATTCATCGCTTCTTTAAGAGATCTGGTTTAACCGACCAGGATTTTTGGCCGGGGGGGGGGGGGGGGGGTATTTAGGCTTAGTGCAGACTTTCCATGACAGTTTGCCAACTTTATTTGAATTTTTCAGTAATCTTTGATTTTGACACTAAAGAAAATGCTAAATGAGACCGACTGATGGTCTTTTGAGAACCCTGCAGAACCGACGTCCGGATCTGACATCAGTTACTGTATTGTCTGAAACTGGCCCTTGGTTTGAATCCATTGTTTTATTTTACTTTCATTCCAGCTGCTGGAACTTTCTGACACACGGAAACTAATCTGAGAAGGTTTCGAGTTGGGCTCTGGAGTCCAGTGAGAGCTCCTGTGATAGAAAATGTGTTGCACAGGTTGTCAACTCACACGAGGAACTTGGGAACCACAAACGTTTTGAAATGTTTTGGGAACTTCCTTGTGAATTCCATTTGCAGTTTATTGTCACCAGTGGCAGCCCAGTCCGATACAGGCTGTACCACAGGGACAGAACAACTGGGAGCCCAGTCCAATACAGGCTGTACCACAGGGACAGAACAACTGGGAGCCCAGTCCGATACAGGCTGTACCACAGGGACAGAACGACTGGGGGCCCAGTCCGATACAGGCTGTACCACAGGGACAGAACGACTGGGGGCCCAGTCCAATACAGGCTGTACCACAGGGACAGAACAACTGAGGGCCCAGTCCAATACAGGCTGTACCACAGGGACAGAACAACTGGGAGCCCAGTCCGATACAGACTGTACCACAGGGACAGAACGACTGGGGGCCCAGTCCGATACAGGCTGTACCACAGGGACAGAACAACTGAGGGCCCAGTCCAATACAGGCTGTACCACAGGGACAGGACAACTGGGAGCCCAGTCCAATACAGGCTGTACCACAGGGACAGAACAACTGGGAGCCCAGTCCGATACAGGCTGTACCACAGGGACAGAACGACTGGGGGCCCAGTCCAATACAGGCTGTACCACAGGGACAGAACAACTGAGGGCCCAGTCCAATACAGGCTGTACCACAGGGACAGAACAACTGGGAGCCCAGTCCTATACAGGCTGTACCACAGGGACAGAACGACTGAGAGCCCAGTCCGATACAGGCTGTACCACAGGGACAGAACGACTGGGAGCCCAGTCCTATACAGGCTGTACCACAGGGACAGACAGAGGTCAGAAGAAAACCAGCTCTGTGATGCTGAAGACCCTGACCTGAAGCTGAAGTTACCGCAGTTCTCCACTAATCAGAGGTTAATTTGAGGACGTCTGACAGAATCAGAGCTGCTCTCTAAAATAATTATTTCAATTCAACCTTTATTTCTTCAGGTTGTTCGCCTCCTTGAGCCTCGTCATTTACAACAGAGACCTGTTTCTAATCAGTTTAACCACATGTTTACAGATGTTTAACAACTGGCTACTACACCAAAATGCAGGAAATGATGTCACTTTTATTCCAGATTTTCTGGGGGAAGACACCCCCCCCGGACAGCCTAATGTTGTGTTCCAGCATCAACTGGTTTACAAACTAAGCCCTGCCACTAATCCTACTTCACAGTTCTGGTCTCAGGTCACCTGCTCTCTGACCTGTTTGTGCTCAACCAGAACAAACTTCTGACCTTTCCAGATGAAGATTTGTCCGTTGGCTCCGTTGTCGAGGATGAAACACTCTCCGGACTCCAAAGATTCTTGGTGGAATGGGTTCTGCTCTGCGACCACAGTCACCTGCATGTCTCCACCTGCGTTGGACACCTGTCGGTGAAGTCAACGGGTCAGTTTGCTCAGAATTAGTTTAGGTAAAGAAGCGACTTGAGAGTGCCACAGCGAGCTGATTGGTTACCTTGTAGAGCTTTGCCACCTTCCTGTTGGACACGTCTGTCTGCGTGTCGTCACTTGGACTTTCTGGAAGGTCCGGTTTCTCGCCCAGAATCTGAAACACAAACAGGAAGTGATCAAAGAAGGTACAGTAGCAGGATGACAGAGGTCACCATCCGGAGTGGCGAAACGTTCAGAACAACCTCCACAGCTAACTGGGCGACTGTTGGTCTCCACAGGGATCTTTGCTTCCTACCATGGAACAACTACAGACACGATGATCTGACCATAAACCGCTTTTCTGAACTTTACCGTTTATTGTGTCTGTTTCTGAGAGAAACTGAGTCCGCAGGGTTTTCATTTAATTTATGATCACACTCAAAAGTGGAAGCCAATTTAAATGGTAACATTCTGGTTCACCAGAAATATGTTTTGTCTTTTTCCATCAAATTATAAGAAAAATGGACTTTAAATGCAAGATGCTAAGTGGCATACCCTATTCTTCTTTCGGCTGCTCCCTTCAGGAGTCACCACAGTGAACTAACTCACATGAAGACTTGGTGATTGTTTTTACACCTTCCTGACACAACCACAGACACCGAGCTACCACAGCCCTCTGTGTGGAGCAGAGAGCTGCAGCTAGGGCGCCAGGGTTTAAATAAAGCCCATGGTTTATCTTTGACACAGCCAGCCTATAAAAAATATGGCTGAGTTTTAGTTAGATCTACACTGCAACTTCTCCTCATGTTGGACTGGACAGGGTGTGCTTCTTTGTGTTGGTACTCATCTAGCACAGTTAACGGCTTTTATGGATCAATTTCTACTTGACATCTGTAGCAAGAGACTAAGTCAATATGTATGCAGACGATGTCACGATGTCAGGAGGTTTGGACTCAGGAATACAGACTTGATATGATGAGCTCAAAGAAAACTAAAATCTTCATTCTAATAAAACAAAATACTAACAAAGAAGCCAACGTAAGTACAAAAACTTCAAGACAATCCTTCAAAATGCGAGGAACACAAAAGGCATGAAGATACTGTGGCACAACAAGCAGTACTGCTGATGTAGAGGTGGAAGCATGCAGGATAGAGAACGAGAAACAGGAAAGTGTGCTTTTTCTTTGTGACTTTACCCGTGTGATTCTACGGTCAGGGTTTTGAGCACGCCAAACTCTTCATTTATTCAAATGATTCGAGCAGCACCAACTCCCACAGCTGACGGCTGAATATGGCTGATCTAAAATCATACAGCTGCAGATTTATCAGAGTCACAGATTCTTTATTGTCATTCGCACCCCATGTGGTACATGAGGTGGAACAAAATTATGTACTCAGGGTCCCAGTTACATCCAACAATGAAATGTAAAAGAAAAACAGTAATAACATCTAAGATATGAACTAAGAAAAACATCAACTAAATATACACTAAGCACTCATAACATTAAAAAAAATCATGTTGAACAGCAGCACGAACACGAGTCTGAGTGAGCAGATGAGCATGAACACATCAACATGAAACAGATCAGCAGCAACATGAGACAGATCAGCAGCAACATGATGTGATTTTTCACAGTAATTATTCTGGTTAGAGATTCATGAGTCTAACAGCCTCAGGGTAGAAGCTGTTCCTCAGTCTAGTGGTTCTACACTTAATGCTCCTCAACCTCCCACCTGAGGGGAGTGGGTCAACAAGTGTGTGTGCTGGGTGAGTGTGGTCCTTCATGATGCAGGTGGTCCTCTTCCTGCATCTGGAGGTGTAGATGTCTGTGATGGTGGGGAGACTGACTCCAACATCTTCTGTGCAGCCTTCACCACTCTCTGCAAAGCTTTTCTTTCTGCAGCTGTGCAGCCTCCATGCCACACGTTGATGCTCGAGCACAGGATGCTCTCCACTGCACACCTGTAGAAGGAGGTGAGGACTGAGCTTCCAGACCAGCTCGTCTCAGCCATCTGAGGAAGTAGAGTCTCTGATGAGCTTTCTTCATCAGGCTGGTGGTGTTGTTGCTCCAGCTGAGGTTGTTGTTCATGTGTACACCCAAGTACTTGTAGCTGGAGACCAGATCCTCCTATGTATAGGGGGGTGTAAGTGTGTTTGTTCCTTCTGATGTCCACGATCATCTCCATCTTCTTCACATTGATGTGAAGGTTATTCTCTTTGCACCAGCTCTCCAGATGTTCCACCTCTTGCCTGTAGCTGGACTCATCATTGTTTGTGATGCATCCCACCACCGCTGTATCATCTGCAACCTTTACAATGTGACAGCCTGGATGGGTAGCTGCACAATCATACGTGAGCAGAGTAAACAGCAGGGGGCTCAACAAACATCCCTGAGGAGAGCCAGTGCTGAGAGTTATGGTGGAGGAGGAGAAGTTGTGGATCCTCACTAACTGTGGTCTGTTTGTTAAGAAGTCCAGGACCCAGTTGCAAATGGAGGAGCTTAGTCCTGGTGTGAATAGTTTGTCCATCAGGGTTTGGAGGATCATGGTGTTGAAGGTAGACGTGAAGTCCACAAAGATCATACGGATGTAGGAGTTATTCTGCTCCAGGTGGAAGAGAGCAGTGTGGACCACAGAGGAGATGGTGTCCTCTGTTGATCGGTTCTCACAGTATGTGTACTGGTGAGGGTCCTCGTTGATGTTGATGATTGTTCTGATGTGAGTCGTGACCAGTTTTTTGAAGCATTTACCGACTATCAGGGTGAGGGCCACTGGCCGGTAGTCAGTGGTTAATTTGAGCCAGATCCTGCCCGAGCAAAATCTGGGAACTCTCTCATTTTGACCCGTTCTGTTCCGGCAACTGTTTGCTCGGATCCGTCAACTCCGCCCCTAAAAGTCCAAAGTCATTGCACATTTTTATTTTGATTATTTTTTTTAAAACACAACGAGAGGAGACGTTGCCCTCAGCCCGGCAGACCCAGTCTGTGGAGTGGATGTTCCAGCCGCAGCACGCGGCGCACCAGCTACACGTTCCTTGGAGGAGGAGAAGAGCCTCCAGGCAGGGGGTGAGGGCGGAGGGACAGATGGTCACATTTACGCACGGTGGTTCTGTGCGGAGTCCTTCTCTCCTCCTCCTCCAAATATTGTCTCTACACAGCGGCTGCGCACTGAACCCCCCCACCCCCCACCCCCCTCAGACCCCGAAACAGAAACCATCATTCATTCAACAGAATAAATACATTCCCTGTGGACAGTGCACGTTGCGCACAGAAACGTCTCCAGACAGCTCCAGCGCGCGCAGAGCATCAGCAGGTGTCTGAACTCCTGAACATTTCAGACATGATTAATCAAAAAACTTACTGTAAAAATAAATGAAAAATACAAAGAGAGAAATGTTTGATGTGTTATTCACATTATACGTCACGTTTCAAAACAACGGTGCTAATTTGTCAAAATAATAAAATGTCAAAAAGACAGTCCAATTTACTTTAATAAAAAAATGGATGGATGGGTGGATGGATGGATGGATGGATGGATGGATGGATGGGTGGATGGATGGATGGATGGATGGATGGATGGATGGATGGATGGATGGATGGATGGATGGATTGTCCTTAGTTGGACAACAGAGAACCGAATCCTTCAGGTGCTTCAAACGGTGCCACGAGACTGGAGCAGGAGCGGAGGAGAGTTCAGCTCAGAACGGTGAAGTGTGTGTGTGTGTGTGTGTGGGGGGGGGAGGTGACCGCCCCACAGAGACAGAGCTGATCACACACAACCTGCTGTTCTTCTCCAAAATACTAATTTTATTAAGAGTTTACAAATGGAGGTAAATGTTGATCAACCTGGTAAAATACACCAGAATGCAGGAAATGACATCTCTGTTATTCAAAATTTTGTGAGAGGACCCACGGACCGACATCCCCCCCCCCCCCCCCCCCCCCCCCCCCCCCCCCCCCCCCCCCCCCCCCCCAGCCTGCCCACTGTTGCAGCAGGTAGTCATTCAGACCAGTCACCGTAGAGCTCTTTGGGACTGGGATGGTTTATCTGGGAAAGCTTCAGTCCGATGCACACCTTTGAAAACTAAACTCCACATCGGTCGATAAACAATATTTTCAGAATTTCTACGATGTGCTGAGACCCTTCTTTTGTCCGTCGTGCATCCCAGCGATGCAGACTATGCAAGGCCAACAGGAAGTGGTCATGAGGCCAGCTGTGAGTCACATGATCCGCTTTGCTGTGTTATTACCGTCAACATCTCTGCTGGCTCCGCCCCCTCATCGATGACCACGAGCTCAGCCCGCCCACACCGCTCGTTGTCACGAATACTCTTGGACACCTGTAGAAACAGTCATCTGTTACCTGATGCCATATGATGTCATACGATGATGTCATCACTCACCAAGGTAGCCTTCAGCTTCTCAAACCTGTTGCTCTGACCACCAGACCACTGGACGATTTTCTGTTGAGAAAAAATACTTTCACTTGTCCACAGTGTAAAAACAGTTGGACTGAAGCTACTCTAACAGCATTTCAGCTAATTTAGTGGTTCATTTATCAAAACCTTCAGCTCGTTCAGGACAACACGCTATGACTTGATCTTTGTTACGTTCATAAAGTTTGAAATATTAAACTTTAGAATTCTGTCCTCATTGAAATGAACAGAAAACTTGACATTTTTAATACCTTGTACTCTTAAATCTACTTCAACTTCATTTTTAGCTTTAGCTACTGTTTTTCCAGTTTTAGCTGTTAGCTAACAACTTGCTGGAGTAACAGAGATGACCAGTTGAATGAACTTCACCCAAACAGATGTGCAGTTCTCTGGCACAGCTGCATGTGCACGCTCCTTCAGGTGATGCTGGTGAAACCGCTCTACACTCAACATGGGTTAAATCCATATTTATGCTAAATTAACTAACCCATGCAACCTGCCACAGCTGACTGAGCACTGTTGGTGTATTTTGTCAAGGTTTTGTCGTGTTTGTGTTGAAATAACGACTTTGTGAATAAGATTAGCTCCTGTTAGCATGCTAAGCTAACAGAAGCTAACAGCGCTAGTCGTTTTTCTGAAAGTAATTGGTTCTTTAAATGGTTCTTTATCTTTTTGTCCTCAACAGCCCCGTGCATGCAGCTGTCGCACACATACTGATGGTATATTGTGTGCTGTTGATTATACCAGGTATATACCAGGTAGGCTCATGTATAAAAATGTGTTTTAAAATGTTTTACAGTTATAGCTGCCAATTACAGTTACTGTTAATCTACTGTTAATCTACTGTTTTCATACTGTTAACTGTGTTTTGGATGTTTTATGCAGGGCTTAATTTGTAAACTGACAGATGCCGGGGGAGCGGGGGAAGTGGAGGGAGCTTGTGGGTCCTCCTCCCCCTTAAATTTTTGAATAGATGCTCTTTGCTGCATATTGGTGTAGACCAGACCTGGGCATTGTACGGCCCCAGGGCCACATGCGGCCCTTTGGTTGACTCTGACCGGCCCCCGTAAGGGGAATTACAAAATACATATGTAAACAAATGAAGTTAACCAAATCTAGATATAGATCCTCTCTCACTGATGATGTCAGCTTTGCTTCACATCTCCACCTCAGACCTTCAACCTGACTTTAACATTTCCCTTAAAGCCCAACAGAGACTAGACTTCTCTCACTAAACAAGAAAAAAGAACTGAAAAACACCAAATGAGATGTTTAGACTACAAATGTAGACACGTAAAGAACCGGGACTCGAAATCACAGTTCAGTGACGATCACTATTATATGATGTTTCATAATATTTGGAGTACAAAGACAATATTGTGATATATTTACAAAGATAAGAACTTTTTCCAGCAGTATATAAAACTCAAAATGAGTTTTGGGGTGAATGTGACTGAAAATGATCACTAATATAACGTCACAAATGGTAAAAATGTTAACAGTTTACCATTGTACTGGGGAATTTAATTGAATAAATGACATTTTTTGTAAGGAAACCTCACTTTTTCGTTGCTTAATCATGACAAATACTCTTACCAGCTTGTTAAAACAGTGCTATGTACTGCTTTTAATAATGAAATACTGTTAATATTATGCAGTACTGAGTTATGTTGAAATCAGGTCTCTCTTGTAAATGAGTCCTCGAGGCTCAATGGGATTTACCTGTCTAAATAAAGGTTGAATGAATAAGTCATTTGTGCCAGCCCTCCACAATATTTGCTCTTTCTCATGTGGCCCCATGGAAAAAATAATTGCCCACCCCTGGTGTAGACTATTTTAACGGGTTGTTAAACAGCTACGTTTACCTACATTTGTAAACACTTGATTCAATAATTATTTTAGAGAATCCTTGTGTGTGTGTGTATATATATATATATATATATATATATATATATATGTGCATGTGTGTTAGATCAAACTCGTTCTCTGTACATTCAGAAAGGGAAAAAAATTGGTTTTGTGGCCCAGTAGTGGCCCCATAGTGGCCCAGTAGTGGCCCAGTTGTGGCCCAGTTGTGGCCCAGTAGTGGCCCCATAGTGGCCCAGTAGTGGCCCAGTCCTTGGGCTGGCACTGCCGACACATCAGCAGTTGTGCACGCTCTCTAGAGCTATCTGGAGACACTCCTGTACGTAACGTGCACTGTGTGCAGGGCACGCCGCCGAAGGTGTTGGATGAAGACGCTTCACCCCCGCAAGACATGTCATGTCTCTGCTGGGCAGGAGCGTGTGCACAGCGTGTGCACAGCGTGTGCACAGCGTGTGCACAGCGTGTGCGCGAGCTGCGGCCGGAACATCCACTCCGAGGACTGGGTTTGCCGGGCCAAAGGTAACGTCTCCTCTCATTGTATTTTTGAATAAATAATCAAAATAAAAATGTGCGATGACTTTGGACTTTTAGGGGCGGAGTTGGCTGATCCGAGCGAACTGCTGCCGGAATCCACCCGGTCACAATGAGAGCGTTCCCGGATCTTGTTCCGGCAGGATCTGGCTCAAATGAAGCCCTGGCTTTACAGGAAAATAAAACATGTTTTGCTCTAAAATGTAAACTTGTTGTATAAATATATTGAGGAAGAAAAAACGATACGATCAAACATAAAAGAAAAGAAAAAGTGATAATGGAAGGTGGAGGATCCATGCATGTGACTGTCGCACACATTTACTGATGGAATAATGCTGTTTATTATTCACTGAAGAGCAGTCCTGTGTCCGTCACCTGATTTTACTCGCACTTGGTCATACGAGTGAAGAGAAACAACGCCGAGGGTTACACAGCTTTTAGCTACTGTTTTGATCGTTGTTGGTTTTTAGCTACCATTAGTTAATGTTAGCTGCAGTTCTGTTGGTTTATCTTGTGTTTTGATTGTTTTAAACAACTCAGTTTCAGCTTGTTCCACAGATTTCAGCAGTCGTTCAGCTCTTAGTGTCCAGACTGCAGTTTTGCAGAAAGTTCTGTTTCTCTGGGACGGTCCTGTTCAGTCCCACCTGTCTGCCACCACCTGTCTCACCTCCCCCAGGTCCAGTATGAAGCTGTCTCCCTGGTTGAAACTCTCCCAGCTGACAGGAACTTCTGTTGCCCTGACGACACGGCGACCTTTGACCTGCAGCAGCCTCTTAACCTCCACATCGTTGGTCTCCACGTGTTTGAAACCTGAGGCCACGCCCCCTTGCTGTATAAGGACAAACAGGAAATCCACAGTTGTCTTATGATAGGGGTTAGGGCTGGAGGTTCTGGTGGTTCTGCTCACGTGCTTACCATGTATGTGAGGCCCGTTTTAAAGTACCCGCTGAAGGTGGCGGACTCGTGGTTCTGGACTTCTCTGTACTGGATCGGTGCTCCCTGCAGGAAGTCATCCATCTGAACAGCAAGAATGGCTGCCGCTCCACTTTCATCCTGAGAGCACTCAGAACCTGAGGCAGAACCAACCGGTCAGGGAGCAGAACCTGCCGCACCTGAACTACCAGCAGGACTGTGGGACAGATTGCCTCAGGTTGTTTACTGTTTGTTGTTGTTGTTGTTTGGCCTCACCTTGCCAGTAGTGCAGGTCGTACTGCATGTCTCCTCGGCGGTTGCTGGTGCTATTCAGAACCAGGTAGGCATCTCCGGTGTAGAACTGTCCGTACAGAGTTTCAGGGACAGGAACTGGTTCCATCTTCTCCACACGCCACACCTGAAGCCCCGCCTTCTTACCTGCATGCTCAAACTCAGGATGGGCCACCATGTCACCTGTAGTGGGTGGGGCATAAGGAGTGTCACTCATCAACAGCTTTCAGGAGATGTGAACCTTCATGTGATCAGAGCATGTCATGTGTTCTGTTTCTGAACAGCTGACAGATTGAATTTATTCAAATTAAAAATTTGGAGAAGTAATCTGAGTACTGGTTTCTGCTTCAGAAACTGATTCTGATAAACACCAGTTCTGATGCAATCTACTCCAACAACAGGTCAGAAAAAGGAAAGAGATGCTCCAAACCGATTGGTTGAAGATGACCGAGGCTCAAAGCCGATTGGCTGAAGATGACTGAACCTCAAAGCCGATTGGCTGAAGATGACCGAACCTCAAAGCCGATTGGCTGAAGATGACAGAGGCTCAAAGCCGATTGGC